AGCTACAAGGGTCCCTATTACGGGTTCCTCCTAAAGTCCTTAGAGTCAAGATGCATGGGACAGGCCGGCCTGCTCGACAGCAGGGGCTATTTGCCGGGAGCAAAGTGCCTCAACGGGGTTTAGGATCTAGGGTTTAGCCTCCCGGAGCTCAAAGCCCTGAAGAATGAGCTCTGTGGCAGTGTCTAAGATGCCTGGAGCTTTGGAAGAGATGTAGGTATGTCCAGTAAACTGGGCTCTCCCATATACACCAAGATGCTTTGGTCCTCCTCAGTATAGCGATTCTTGACTTTTTTGTGGCAAGCACCACATGGTAGTTTCCCAAAATGAGGGGACCCCAATATAGACCCCAAAATACTATAGTCCTTATTATAGGGACCCCGCAAAATGGTACCCCTAATTTTGGGAAACCCTAAACCCTAAATAGTAGCTTCCATTTTCTTTTCCATTATCCCTATATAACCCCGATATTACCCCTATATAACCCCCTTAAAAGGTACCCCTAATTTTGGGGAAACTCCCACATAGCACCCCTCAACTATGATCTTGACACCTGGAGCTCTAAAGGTTTCTGAAATAGGGTTTAGGGTTTAGGGTTTAGGGACGAGCTGCAGTAAGCACGAACAACTCCCTGGTGCTTAGGAGGGAATGGGGGAATGGATCATAGGGATTATTCAGATTCTAAAGGGACTACTACAGGGATCCATTCTCCCATTCCCTCCTAAAGCACCAGCGAGACAATATCCCAATATAACCCCAATATATACCCTATCATCCATATATAGCCCATTGTAGTAGTCTCCATTTTCTTGTCCATCATCCCAATGTAACTAAGCATGAACAATATGCATGGAGGTACGGCTATCTGGGGAGTGCCTTTAGCACTGGCCTGGGTGCAGTCATGGGCACCAGCCCCGCCTGCAACTGAGTGCTTCCAGCTTGGTGTATGCTGGTCTGATTTTTTTTCATGGGTTTTGGGGTTTAGGTTGGGGCTTCAGGGTTTATGACTTTTAAGGTCACATGAGATCAAGAAGCAGCACCCAACAACAAATACCAAACCCATAGCCCCAAGAGCAGGCACAGGACTACACGCACCACTGCACTCGTTCGATTATCTCGCTTTCCTGGCACATCTGCAGTATTTGCTGCAAATGGGGGGCTGAACTTTGCCGCTGGTGGTTGGTAGGGAATGGAGTGGATCAGAAAATGCAAGCTTGTGTATTTTGGTTGGTTTCATATAGTGACTGCTGTAGTGATGCATCCCTCCCTTCTCCAAAGACCAGTAGTAAATCTAGGGAACATCCAGCATCAGCACTGCTCCCCTTGAATAGCATGCTTCACCAGATTTGTACATCCATCACGGTGTTCAGGGTGTAAGGTCAACTAATGGGGTCGCACAGCCTTGTGTTGTCCGTGCATTTGAGCTATAGTCTAAACTCCTTAAAGGGGTTTATACAGGGGCATATATAGGGGACTACTATAGGGCTTATTAAGGGGGATACTAGGAGTTTAGGCTACAGCTCATTTGAGAGAAACGGAGCCACAGTGGCTTGAGAACCACTCCATTGGACTTGGAACGCACATGGTGGACCTTTGCGACTGCTGCGGAAGTCCTACATCCTAGGTAAACCATTAGTAGTTTCCATTTTCTTTTCCCTTATCCCCATACAACCCCAATACACTATGGAGTTTCCATTTTCTTTTTGAGTATCCCTATACAATGCGCCATATACTATGGTAGTTTCCATCTTCTTCTCCATCATTACTAGTATCATGAAAGGACTATTCAAGATCCAACTGGCAGCCTTCAGGGTGTGGTGTTAGGCATTTCAGGGTTTTGGGTGTAGCCCTCTGTCTAAGGGTTTAGGGTTTAGGGTTTTAGTCTTCATGTTATGTGTATAATATGTGCATATTGCAGTATTAGACATGGATGCCCATTTCGTCTTCGATCATGTCGGTATATTTCTGTAGATATAGTTTGCAGCTAACAAGAGTGAGGATACCTTCAGGTAATGTTGACCTACCGCTTACGAAGGGAGTGACAACAAAGTATTCCCGCGCCGCCAGAAAAAGTCGGAAAGACTGCGTTTTGAAACTCCCAAACTCTACATCACATGTCCATCGACAATAATGAACCGGTGGCAATAATGAAACTCCTGGCCCAACAGTTCCACTTGTTAGAGATCACTACTCTCTCCTTTACTTGCTTTACTATACTTCACCACCCTCCACTACTGCTACTGCAGCAGCAACTGCTGCTGCTGCTGCTGCTACTGCTACTGCTAGTGCTACTGCTATCGCTACTGCTACTACTACTA